GCATATATTGGTTATGCAATAACTATTAAATGAATAAATGTATATAATAGCATTTATATTTATACACTCTCCCTTATTTTAAAAATGTGTTTAAGATGTCAAAAGCAATACAATAATTTAGAAGAAAATAGAAGGAAAAGGGAGGAGGATGGTAAATAAAATGGGACTAGGCATGAACTAACTAATGCCATGAGTATATAAGTATATAACTAATATGAATATAAGTGCATTTGCAGTTACAGAGGGAGCATATATATGGAACTTACAAAATACGTGGAAAGCTATCTTGTCTGATAGTTGAGCAAAAAATTGCATCTCTTTTATTTTGGCCTTGGAAAGAATTTTTATTAGAGAGAGAGACAGAGACATCATTTTGTTGTCCCACTTAGTTATGCATTCATTGGTTGATTCTTTGTGTGTAGCCTGACTGGGGATACCGCTACAACTGGTATATTGGGATGGTGCTCTAATCAGCCGAGCTACCTGGCCAGTGCTCAATTTCTTATTTTCTAAGTTACATTTTTGTCAACATATACTTGATGCTGAAGGATTTCTCTGTGGACCACTCGTTAGCTCATGGATCAAAATATAATCAGTATGTGGTAAAAAGGAGAGGTCTCTGTATCACTGCTGTGAAGACAGGAATCTGTAATATGATTGTATGGGGTGCTCCTCACTTCCTGAAGTTTTATGCTCTAACTCCTCTTACCTGCTCTCTTTCAAAAAGCACATTGCCATAGGATAGGAATGCAAGAAGGTTGATTTGAAATAGTAACTTTCTTTTAGAATGAACATCTTTTAAATTAATGTAACTAAAAAGTTCCTGTGAATTATAGCTTGCTCTCTAGGTTGCCTGTTTGTGAAGTTTTAAATAAATGAACACATTAAAATTCTCTCCTCTCAGGATTAAATGTATGCAAAATTTAAGAGATTTTTGGGTTGTTTTTTTATAGAAGATTCTTCTTAAATCTAATTCTCTGCATGATATTTTCTTGATGGAGGATTAAACTTTGCTTGCCATTTTGTTCCTTAATTAATTGATAAAGTAATGAGGTCTTACTATTTTGGGTAACTTGATACTTTGAAACAGTCTGTTATTGGAACTTTCCAAAGGAGGTGCGCACACAACTTTTTCGGTGTGCCAGCCTTTAGAGTTGTGTGTTTCAGGGATTTGCTAATCACCAGCTGGCGAATGATTTATAAGGCAGGAAAGACAGGAACTCCTGAATGGTGGCCACTGACTCACCAGTAAGACAGGGTGTGTACTGGCTTCAAGCCTTGTCCATTGGCTTGCAGATCTTGCTGCTGGGAGAGACTTGATGTTGTCAAAGAGCCTGTGTGCTACCTTTGGCATCTTTGCCAGATGTCACCGTGTTGTTCTTGACCCTCACGTTGATTTAGCCACTGAGAACTCCATGTGGAATTTACTACAGTTGAATATATCTGTCTTCCTGTTTGTCTCTTCTTTTGTCTGTCTATTCATCCAGTCATCCACGCATTCATTATCCAGCCATCCATATAGCCATCGGTCTATCCATCCATCTAATATGGTATTTAAGCTGTCAATGTATGGGCTGGAAGTATGGGCTGGAATTAACCTCTGAAAGCATTGCTTAGAATTGAGGTTGGCAAACCTTTCCTGTAAAGGGATAGGCAGTAATATTTTAGGCTTGCAGACCATGCCATCTCTTGCAACTGCTCAGCTCTGCTGTTGTAGGGCAAACAGCCATAGACAATATGTAAATAAATGTGTATGGCTGTGTTTTATTGGAAAACATTGTTTACAAAAAATTACATGCTATGGGATGCCCGCCCCTGGTGTAGAGAGTGGAAGTATCTGACTCAGCATAATTTGTGTGCTATACAAAAATTTTAAAATATGCCTTTAATGCTTATACTTTTCTAATATAGCTTATCTCATAGGATGGTTAGCTTAACTGTCATCTATTTTGAGGTTTACCTACAAAAGTAGTTTTATAGGTTTTACCATTTTGTTATTTTATTTAAACACTAGAGGCCCGGTGCACGGATTCGTGTACCAGCGGGGTCCCTCGGCGTGGCCTGTGGGGATAGGGCCCAAACCAGCAGTCCAAAGCCGCCTACCGCTCCTGCTCATCCTGGCCCCACTGCGCCTGCCGCCGCCACTTGGTAGGCTTGCTGCCGCTCTGCTACAGTCTCTGCGTGCCTGTCCTGGGTGATACTTGTACACCCATGACCGACAAGTGGCCGCGGGCTTGCGCCCAGTCAGTCCCAATGCCAGTCCTGATCTAGATAGGGGAGAGGTGTGCAGGGGGAGTGTTCGTGGGAGAGGCTCGCGCCGCCACAGTGGTGCTCGCCAGCCATGAGCCCGGCATCTGGCACCCATCGGTCAGCTGAGCGGCACTCCCGCTGTGGGAGCGCCCTGACCACCAGTTGGCCAGTCGAATGGTCACTTAGGCTTTTATATATATAGACTAGGGGCCTAGTGCATGAATTCGTGCACCTTGAAAGGAACTGTGGGCCATGAGGTTGTGGTGGGCACAGGGGTAGGTCTTGACCCATCCTTTGCGCCTCTGCCTGACCCTTCCTGTCACGGCCCCTGGTCCCCTATCTGCCAGCAGCTCCGCTCCCGCCGCCACTGCCGCCACTCCCACATGCTGATGGTGCTGGCCCCGCTCGCACCCGCTGACAGCGTGGAGTGATTGGGGCCGGTGCCAGCAGCAGTGGGGCTGGTGCTGTCAGCGGGTGTGAGTGGCGGCTGCTGCCCTGATCACCCCTCTGGAGCAGGGGGAGGTGGAGAAGCCCTCAGGGGTGATTGGGGCTGGCAGCTACCGCACGCACCCGCTGATGGTGCCTAGTGATTGGGGCCGGTGTCAGGTGCCGGCAGCGGGTGCGAGTGGCAGCTCCACGCTGGCTGTGGGTGCAAGCGGGGCCGGCACCAGCAGCAGGAGTGAATGCTGGGCGGGACCACGATGCGCGGGTGCAAAGAATTTTCAGTAACCACCAGAGGCTCGTCCCAATGGCAGCGACTCTTGCCCCTGCCTTGGTCTGGTGCCCCCGCTCACCTGCTCCACCTTCCTGCCGCAGCCAACGCCTGCCATGTTCCACACTCTGCCATCTGTTGCCGATGTTTGCCATGTTCTGTGTGTCCCCTGGTGGTCAGTGCACATCATAGCGACCGGTTGTCTGGTTGTTTGGTTGTTCCCCCTTTTGGTCTATTTGCATATTAGCCTTTTATTATATAGGATATTGGTGATTGAAAAAATATGGTCTCTCTCTAGCATTGGTTATAGAAATGTCATTGGATTGAAAATATACAAAAATACAAGGAATAAAATTTTCTGCCACATCACTGATAACAGCACAATTGAATTGGATAGGTTTTACTTATAAATATGATTTTAAAAAAAACCTTTATTTTTGACCTGAAAACATGGTCAAGTTATATTGCTAAGTGGGGAAAAAAGGGAGATTATAGAAGGGTTCTTAACGTGTAGAAGAGTTCTTAACGGCATGTACGATGTGATTCTGTGAAAAGAAAAACATTACATATGTCTTTATATGTGCCTGAGAACCTGGCTTAGAGGCTGTATATGTATCTAGAAGCAATGCCCCCGATTCCACTGCATAATTGGCTCTGCAAATATTCCCCAGCAATTGTCAGTGGGCATGGAACTGCAGTCTGAATCATGAATACCTCTGAGCCTGGATAACAGGTCTGCCTCCACTGTTACTAGTACTCTGGAATAGATTCTGGACACTTGCTGTTCCTGTGTGTTATCAGTTTCCAATTCAGAGTTTGGCATGGGTGCATTTGATTGGCAGAGCCCGTTTTGTGCCCTAGCCACAAGAGAAGCTGAGAAACTGAATACATGGACTTCACTTTTGTCGTGGAGAAAGGGTCCTACCTCATAAGATGGGGCATTTCCCAAATTGTAGCAATAGGATTAAGAAACCTGAATGCCACAGAGAAAAAGCTGTCCACTGCAGACATCCAGGAAATTGTTGGCATTGATTACTTTTACCCAATGGATTTGGAAGGGCTAATTGGGTTGCAGAGAGAACTTTTTACTTTATTCTGTAGTGCTCCTTGAATGAAAAAAAATTATGTAGCAATGATAATATAACCATGGGGAAAAATGAACAAAAGAGAGCTTTTTCCACTCCTTCCTCCCCCCCGCAAGTTCCACTGTAATGCTCTCACATAGGAATTCAGGAAGGCCTCCAAATATAATTGGGTAATTCTGTTAACTTATTACTTAATTTAATTTTAAGAAATTTGCCTTATGATTTCCTCACGAATTCAGTCAACTCTCTATTGCTTGTTCTTGGTTGGGCAGAGAAATCATTAAATGGTTTTCTCTGCGATGTCAGTGGCTATTCATTTTGGCCTGGTGGAGCTGATTCAGTTTCTCTCTTTGAGTACCACAGGATTCAGTCTTGAAAATTAAGGTGTTGTCAGGTTGACAAAGTGTTCATAATTGCAAAGTGTAAAAATAAAATATTGGGCCCTGCTATGTGGTTTTATCCCTTCCCCCAAACTTTTATAAATTTGCTCCTTGATAGAAAATGTGTCTGGGAACTTAATTGAGTCCAATAAAGTTTTAGCAGATATATTAAAAAAAAATTTAGCTTTATAGTTCAGAACAGTTTTAGATTTATAAAAAAAAGTATGAAGGTAGTACACCCAGTTTTCCATGATACTAACATCTTACATTAGTATGTTACAGTTTGATACATTATTATTGTGTAAAGCCTACACTTTATTGTCTTAGTTTTTACCTAACATGCTTTTTCTGTTCCAGGATAGCTGATATATTTCATACATTTATATTGTATTTTTCATCTGTATAGTCATATCATGAAGCTGTATGGTAAATGCCATTTCTGTTATAAGTAACCTGACATTTATGGAAGAATAAATAAAGCTTTGCCACAATGAGTTTCTTATATTCTTTTATGTACAAATGTCACACAAGAGAAACTAATTAACCTTTCATTTTCCCCCGTTTCATATTCAGTGGAACAAGTTCCTGTGGAACCATACAACATCCCCCTGTCCCAGGCCGAGGTCATACAAGAAGGGAGTGATGTTACTCTAGTTGCCTGGGGCACTCAGGTGAGTAATATTTATACCAACTGGTAAGGTTCATGTGCTTGGAAGCGCTTACTTTTAATCCTGATACTAAGAAGAATTAAAAACAATGCTTTCCTTATGTCAAATTTGACTTGTTGCTGGTACTGATTTTTGATGGAAGGTCAGGTGCTTATTCAGTCATTAAAATATATATGCATACTAGAGGCCTGGTGCATGAATTCATGCACCAGTGGGGTCCCTTGACCTGGCCTGCGGGATCGGGCCGAAACCGGCTCTTCCGAGGGGTCCTGGATTGCAAGAGGGTTCAGGCCAGGCAGAGGGACTCCACCGGAGCATGATCACGGCCAGGGAGAGACGGGGGAGGTTGGCCAGCTGGAGAAGGACCACGGGAGGGCTCCAGGTGTGTCCAGCCTGTCTGGCTCAGTCCTGATCAGCCAGACCCCAGCAGCAAGCTAACCTACCGGTCGGAACATCTGCCCCCTGGTGGTCAGTGCACATCATAGCGACTGGTTGACCAGTTGACTGTCTGCCCCCTGGTGGTCAGTGCATGTCATAGTGGTTGAGCAGCCTTAGCATATCATTAGCATATTACACTTTGATTGGTTGAACGGACGACCAGATACTTAGCATATTAGGCTTTTATTATATAGGATTGTGAAGCCATTAAAAATAGGTTGAGTTTATAAAAATGTATTAATTAAAACACTTGTTTCTTTTGAAGTACATTTTACCTACTCACTACTTGTTGTTACACTTTACTATTTTCTTTTTCATGTCGTCTGCTGCCATCTATCATGGTTACTTTGCTGACTATGTGGACCATTTGGCTGGTCCAGCCTCAGAATTCCATATTGTTCTCTTTTCCAGTAAACCTCACCATAATCTGTACCCACTTTCCCAGGTGCTTGTTGTCTCATTGCTCTCTCTCCAAGCATTTAAGCTCAGAGCTCTTTCTCTGGTCATAGACATCTCTCTCGTACACTTCTTAATCACCATTTATAGGAGTGCTCAGTTTTTCTTTTTTTCTGTGTAAAGGAAATATTTGTTTGTTTTAGACTTTAATATGGGAGTATAAAGAAGATAATGCAAATCATTTGTAGTATCACAACCTCCTCCTTTCTTCATTTGATTTTTGGCTTTGATAGCTACAGTCCTCATGGTTTCTTGCCTCCAGTGGGAACCCTTTTTATTCACATCCCTGTCACTCTCAACATGTGTCCTTCTCTCTCTATCTCTCTCTTTTTTAAAAAAATACATTTTTTATTGATTTCAGAGAGAAGGGAAAGAGAGAGAAGGATAGAAACATCAATGATGACAGAGAATCATTGATTGGCTGCCTCCTGCATGCCCTCTTCTGGGGATCGAGCCTCCAATCTGGGCATGTGCTCTGACCTGGAATCAAACCATGATCTCCTGGTTCACGGTTTGATGCTCAACCACTGAGCCACACCTGCCAGGCCTTGCCTCCCTTTTAAATAGGGAAATTAGGATGTATTAGATAGTAACTTCCCTTACTTGTTTTCCCTTTACACCTATCACTTCTTTCAGTCCTTTCCTGTTTTCTTTGTCTTCAAAGGGGGGGTATCTGTCATAGCTACTTCTCCAAAGCTGTTTCAGATTATATTCCTTTTTTTTTTTTAGTACTGTGATAGATCAATTGGCCCCTCTCTCTCCTCATCTTCAATTTCTTCTTTCCATGTCCATTTTATTAAAAAGGTGTGTATCTCTTCATTATCTAAAAAATACATTTTTTCATCCTATTTTTCTTTTCAATACTAGTATAGCTTCCTCTTTTCTTTGATTACTAATCTTGAACAATTTCTCCCCAAGTATTTTACTTGTTAACTTCCTTATGATTTTGCACCTTATGAATTCTGTTCCCACTAAATCACTAAAACTATTTCTGCTAACATTACTAACCTTCTAATTGTTAAATCTAACTCTATCCCATATTTCTATGGTATATGGCACTTGCTACTCTCTTATTTAGCTTCTGGAATACATAGTCTCCTTGTTTTCTTCTGTTTCTTTCTTTGTTTTGTTTTGTTGTTGTTTTTGTTTTGTTTTTGAGCTCCTTTCATCTGTTTTCCCTTTACTTGTTGGTCATCTGCAGGGTTCCATGATTCTGCTTTTGACTCTTCCCTTTAAATGCTTTCCCTAGAAACTCCACTTACTCCTGTGACTTGACCTCTGTGGCTGATGTCTTTGGAACTGGTATCTCTAGTAATGACTTCTCTCACTTCCTCTAGGAACCTCTTTCCACCTGTTTTCTAGACATTTGTACTTTATTATTTTGGTGAAATATCACGTTCAACATGTCTAGAACAAATTTATTAATTCTCCGTGAAGATCAATTCCTCCGACTTTATTTTTTTTTATTTTATTTTATTTTTTTAAAATATATTTTATTGATTTTTTACAGAGAGGAAGGGAGAGAGATAGAGAGTTAGAAACATCGATGAGAGAGAAACATCGATCAGCTGCCTCCTGCACATCTCCCACTGGGGATGTGCCCGCAACCAAGATACATGCCCTTGACCGGAATCGAACCTGGGACCTTTCAGTCCGCAGGCTGACGCTCTATCCACTGAGCCAAATCGGTTTCAGCAATTCCTCCGACTTTAAATAGTACTTCTATTAATGATGTCAGAACTCAACTAATGTTTTAGGCCTGAATTTCTGTATTCATTCTCTACATATTTTTCTCCTTATTTCAGGTTCATGTGATCCGAGAGGTGGCTTCCATGGCTCAAGAAAAGCTTGGAGTGTCTTGTGAAGTCATTGATCTGAGGACTATACTACCTTGGGATGTGGATACAGTTTGCAAGGTGAGACTATAGAAAGTCATTTCCTTAAAATCTTGGGCAAAATTTGTTGAATATTTGCAAAGAATTGTTTTGAAATTTTGAGCATTGTGAGCATTTTGGACTGATTATAAATTTTAAAAATTTATACCATGAAAGAAATGTATGCTATATAATAAGCCAAACACTCAAGAAAACAAATCACTTAGGTGTTTTTCTTCCCATAGTTCTCTATGTTGATTTGAAAATACTGTATAACTGTGTCCTTCATAAGGCCAGCTTGGGTTGAATTGTGTGAGTAATGGAGTCGTGTAAATAAACACAGGAAGGTCATCTGAGTTTTTAACTTCTGGTTAGTAATAATTTAATAAGCTAGGCTTAATATAGTCAGAAATAGTTTGGCTAAATTGTCTTTTGTCTCTTCTCTAAAAGAAATGGAGATGGATTATTTAAAAAAACTAACTCTTTATATAGCCTTAATACTATGGATCACAGTTTGAATGTTATGTTGTGGTATTCTGGCTGCTCTAATCTATAGTTTTCTATCATCTAAGCTTCCTCTTAAACTTTGGCCTGATTAGATTGATCTTGTTGCTTATTATTCATACGATTCACATAGTCCATTCTCAAGGGTACAGCTTAGTTCTCATTTACTGGGCTGTAACAATATCATCTACTCCTTTATTGGTATATAAGTAAGGTTAAGCTCTTTTTTGTGATGGTTTTATCTACTAAAGCTTGGGTAACATTGCATGTGTTCTTTTCTTGATTTATTGCTATAGCAAATAAGTCCTATGACCTTAGGGTATTTTACATTTACTATTTTAAAGAGCTTTGGCATTATCATAGCTTTACAGGCTGTTTCATAGGTTAGTTACATGAAAATAATCTGCAGTTACTCCTGCTATAAAAGTATAGCATAGAGTGGATTTATTTATTTATTTATTTATTGTTAATCCTCACATGAGGATATTTTTCCATTGATGTTTAGAGAGAATGGAAGGAAGGGGGAGAGACAGAGAGAGGGAAACATAGGTGTGAAAGAGACACATCGATTGGTTGCTCTCCCTCACGGGCCAGAGATCGAGCCTGCAACCAAGGTACATGCCCTTGCCTAGAATTGAACCCAGGACCCTTCAGTCCGTGAGTGGACACTCTGTCCACTGAGCCAAACCGGTTAGGGTGTATAGAGTGTTTTTAGGTGAAGATTGTGATGCGTGTATAAGAACTTTATATAGAAAAGTCACAAAATATTACTTAGTGAGAATAGAGAAGATCCAAACTAACTGAACCACATACCATGTTAATGATTGTAAAGCCAAGAATAGCCAAGGCAATTTTGAAGAATAAAGCCAGGGGATGTGATTATTAGGTGTCAAAATGTTTTATAAGGCTATAGTAATCATAATTTGTATTAGTGTAAAGACAGACAAATAGACCAATAGAACAGAATTAAAGAGTCCATAAACAGACTGTTGTGTCATCTGATTCAGGAAAAAGGTGAAATTGCATTCAGAGTGGAAAAGGTGGTCTTTTTAATAAATGATGCTGGTTTAGTTAGGTACCATGGAAAGTATCACACAAATGTCAATTCCAGATGGAATTCCAGTTCTGTCAAAGAAAAAAAATGATGAAGCTCTTGGGAAAAAGCATAGGTGAATATCTCTGTGGTCTTGTGCAGGCAAAGATTTCTTTTTTAAAAAAATATATATTTTTATTGATTTCAGAGAGGAAGGGAGAGGGAGAGAGAGATAGAAACATCAATGATGACAGAGAATCATTGACCGGCTGCCTCCTGCACTTCCCCTACTGGGGATTGAGCCTGCAACCTGGGCATGTGCCCTTGACCCTTCAGTCTGCAGTCCGATGCTCCATCTACAGACCCAAACCAGCTAGGACAAAGATCTTATATAATAAAAGGCTAATATGCACATTTATCGACCAGCGGAACAACTGGTCGCTATGACGTGCACTGACCACCAGGGGGCAAACGCTCAATGCAGGAGCTGCTCCTTGGTGGTCAGTGCACTTCCGCAAGGGGAGTGCCGCTCAGTCAGAAGCCAGGCTCACGGCTGGCGAGCGCTGGTGGGAGCCTCTCCTGCCTCAGTGGCAGCGCTAAGGACCCCTTCGGGGATGTCTGCCTGTGGGGAGCAGGCCTAAGCCAGCAGGCGGACATTCCCCGAGGGGTCCTGGATTACGAGAGGGCGCAGGCCAGGCTGAGGGACTCCCTGCCCCCCTGTGCACAAATGTCATGCACCGGGCCTCTAGTTTCTTAAATAAAACAAAACAAAAGAAAAAGTCAGGAACACTGACATTTTTAAAAGGATGATAAAATTTGACTTCATTAAAATTTTAAACATGTATTCGTCAAGAAGCCCCAGTAAGAGAGTTAAATAGATAACCCACAGATTTGGGGAAACTCATCAAAATTTATACTTAGAAATATAAAATACTCTTACAATTAAAAATAAAAAGGACATCCCAATAGAATTATGAACAAAAGTCTTGAAAAGGCACTTCACAAAGGAAGATATTGAAATGGCTAATAAAAATATGAAAAAAATGTTCAGTTTTTTTAGTCATCAGGACATACAAATTAAAACCACAGTGTGATATCACTAAAGACATCCTTCTGGCTAGAATGAAAAATACACGAATACCAAGTACTGCTGAGGATGTGGATCAACACACCTCTCATGTACTACTGTTGGAAATATAAATTGGTACAACCATTTAAAAAATTGTTTGGCATTATCTACCTGAATCCTATACTCCCAGTAATTCCACTCCTGTGTATATATACCAACAGAAATGTACAAAAGATAAGTTCAAGAATGTTTCTAGAAGCACTATTTCGAATAGCCTCACACCGTAACCTACTTGAATGCTCATCAACCAGAGAATTGGAAAAATAAGTAAATAGAATATTGTTTGGCAAGGGGAATGAACCAGAAATTTAATAGAACAATGTGTTTTCATCTCACAAACACAATTTGACTTTAAAAAGCCAGATTCAAATGAGTACATAGTGTATGATTCAAGTACAAAGTTAGATAAGACTAATCTGTTGTGTTAGGTGTCAAGTTAGTGGTTAATATGGTGCTTAAAAGTTGGAAGAGGGTGTGAGGGAGGGGTAAGGGATGCTGATAAGTTTCTTATTCTAAGTGCTGATTACATAGGTTCCATTGTTGAAAATTGAGCAGAACACTCATTTTGTGCTCTTTTTTGTATATTGTTATGCTTTTAACAGAAAGAAAGAACCATGTTTCCATGCTCCTGTTGATTAGTTAATTAATTTTCTTGGATTCCTATTCTCGTGGGCCTTTTTATAGGTTCTAGGAGAGCCTTGGTGCACTCTGACCTGGAAGGGTTTCTTTTGTCATTCAACTCTGTCCATGCCCCTTGTTCCATTTTTCATAACCCAGCTCAGCTGTCCCACTGATGCAAAATAGGAGCTCATAAGTGGGGCTGCCCTTCCAGAGTCTTTCTGGGAGCAAGAACAGTGGTTAAGAGTTAGAGGCTTGAATGGGCTTTCCTGCTGAGACACAGACCACAATAAAAAATGAGTTAAAAAGTGAACTACAATGTTAAAGTGACACGGCAGAGTTAGTCTTGAGGTGCTGTCTAGCTTGAAATACATATTTTTAAATGAGTAGAAATCCAAAGAAGCTACCTATGGAAAATAAGAACTTGATTTTGGCAGTAGGATGACAGGCTGTGAAAGAAATTCAGGATTTCAAGAATCATGCAACTTAGAATCAACTACATACAACGCTGCAAAAAAAACCAAAACAAAAACCAAAACATTTTACAAGATGATCTTCACATGTTTATAGAGAAAATTGATACAGTTTTGACGTGCTTGCACTTTAATTGAAGATTAAATTAGGCTAATTACTGAAATAAATAAGAGTTTGCCTTTCCACCTTGAGTCCTTGTTTTCTTTCTTTCTCTCAGGCTCTGCCTTCCCACATTCAATTCCAAAACAGATTGTCAGGCATTGCATACACAGTATGTCCAGAATCGGGCCTCTTCCACTGCTATTACCTCTGATCCTGGTCCAAATCACTTGCCTTTCTCACCTGGGTTGCGGCCAGAGCCTCCTATCTACTGTCTGCACTTCTAACCTTTCAGTGCCAGAGGCAGAGTTGATCCTTTCAAAAGTGGATCAACATCAGATCTCTTCTAGTCTTGAAAGGCCTCAATGGTTTCTCATTAAACCTAGTGGGAAAGTCAAATTCCTACAGGGGTTCACCTGACCTCGCATTTCACAGCCCACCATCCACCCTTCAGGAAGTGCGCTTGGTTGACTCTGTTAGGTCACTGCTCAAATACCATTTTGCCATTGAGGCATTCCCTGATCAGTTTATTTATATGGAATCCCATCCCTCTTACTGAGACCCACTTTTGCTTCTTTCTTTTTCTCTAGCGAGATGAACACCATCTATCATAGTATGTTATTATTTATATTGTTGATCTTTCTTCCCCTATTACAGTTATGGCGAACCTATGACACGCGTGTCAGAGGTGACACGCGAACTCATTTTTTTGGTTGATTTTTCTTTGTTAAATGGCATTTAAATATATAAAATAAGTATCAAAAATATAAATCTTTGTTTCACTATGGTTGCAAATATCAAAAAATTTCTATATGTGACACGGCACCAGAGTTAAGTTAGGGTTTTCAAAATGCTGACACGCCGAGCTCAAAAGGTTCGCCATCACTGCCCTATTAGAAGATGAGTTCTATGAGGGCAGGGATTTTTGTCTTTTGGATCACTTCTGAATTCTCAGTATCTGAAACAATGCTGAAAAATTATTTTGAATATCAACAAGAGAAAAGCTTGAGAATATGTTATGAAAACTTATAATATTAAAATGTTTTGGAGCTTTTTAAATTCTTGGTACTTATACAAAGGTTTAAAAAGTAACTTTAGAATATTGCTCTGAATAAATCCCCTAATGTATTCTAAGTTGAAACGTTTAAAAGTTTTTTTAGTTTGATCTTATGTTTTTATTTTGCT